GCGTGCGTGCTTGTGTGTGTGTGTGTGAGAGAGAGAATGCATAAGCATATGTGTATATGCGTTTGTTTGTGTATGGAGATGTTCATGTGTATGAATTAATATTAGATGTTAGGTTTAGAAAAATCTTTCAGTCAGTAACACTAAATCCTTTGTGCTGTCGCCATTATAGGATAAGTGGTCAATTTATGGCACAAACATGCTAGGTAATGCCAATGAAACTCCTTGAAGAAAACTAGCTTTTCAAGGGTATGCAAAATAAATGCTTTTGAAATCAAATCCAGTAACCAAAGCTTTGGAGGCATATAATCGGCAAAATATGACGAACGTACAGCAGGCATGTTACCTGTGGGTGCTCCGCCAAATGCTGCAATTTCTCGGCCAGTTCCGAAGGCGCGTACTGCCTGGCGTCGATGTACGAGTTGGGGGGAAGAAGGTCGTCGTAGTTGGCCCCTCCCAACACCACGGGCACCAGCGGGTAGAACATCAGGTTGTACAGCTTCTCCGTGGCGTAGTCGTCGCAAATGGCGTTCTCGAAGGCCAGGTAGAACAGGTACTTGTCCGCCGCGGCTCGCAAACAGGGATCCTGGTCCACCCGATACTCGTGCTCGGCATAGCGCGATTTCCCGCACTTCAGCCTCCCGCACCTGCCGTACACGTCGACGGTGGTGTACTTCTGCAGTTCGTTGATGTAGAGAAGGCGATTGCTGCGCGCTCTGCAGTTGGAGATGAAGGCCACTGCGATTCGCCCCGTCACGTTCGCCCTGTGCACCAGGGGCTCCCGGACCCAGTGCCTCGGCAGGAGGCTGGCGTCGTCGCCTCGCCCCACGATGAAGCCGTGGTTGAACAGGATGTCTGCGTCACGGCGGTAGTACATGGTGCGGTTGAAGACGCCGTTCAGGGTCCGGTAGTTCACTTTGTACTTGGTGGAGGCGATGAAGTGGGTCTCGGCCTCGAACATGATCCAGGGCTGAGACGGGTCGCGGGGACGCAGGTCGCGGAGGAGCTTCTCTCGGCTCGGAATGCTCTTCATGTGGATGAACACGGCGTCTGCGGTCTCCACCTGCAGGAGGGGAGGGGGAGGGGGTGAGGGGAAGAGGGAGCGAGAGGAAGAGAGAGAAAAACAGAAAAAAGGAAAAAACAAATATCAGAATGAGAAAAGAAAAATGGAAAATAGAATAAGACTAAGAGAAAAAGAGATGAGGAAAAAGAAAATTGGAGAAAAAGAGAAAAAAGGAGAAAGAGAGAGAGAAAAGAGTTTGTTAAGACTCAAGAGCTCATCCATAGCATACAATGTATCCAAAGACGAGAGACCAACAATCTCCCGACTCAAACCCCGTATAATCCTCGGGACTGGCAGTTACCTCAGACAGCTGCGTCGTGATTGTACAAGGCAACGGACAATGGCCTTCCTGGATGTCTCTGACGTGCGCTACGAACCACTTCGTCTTCAGAAAAGCCTTGTCGATGTAGGCCACGACTTTAGGGACGTCGCCGCTCCTGAAGCTGGGATTTGAGGGAAGAGGTGGAAGGAGCGATGAAGCAAGAGGCAAATGGGAATGAATTTTATGCATTAGGATGGAGAAAGGGGGAAGAAGTTTCTCTGAAATTTTCCCTATGATTTTGTTCCCCTCTCTCTATCTTTCCCTATATCTCTATTCACTTAACATATGAATCTTTACAGTTTTTGTACACAGACTTCATGAGTCCTCAAATCCAACGTTTTCCTCGTTCAAATTCGCGCAACCCGTGACGTCACACCACTTGCTGAGAAAACGCCTTATCACCTAATTTACTCTTATATCAACATTAAAACGATCATCAGTGAAGTTGATACCAGATGTATTGCCAGATACTGCAATATACAAACGAACTTGTCTTCAGCTTGGAGCTCACTCAGGCTTAAGTATTTAATGCCAAACCTCCTCGTTCAAAGAAATACTTAGCATCTCTAACAGATCACAGAGTTGCAAGAAGAAAATGATAATCTTCGACTTTCATTGGGAGTGCTGTGTGTCGATTGGACCACGCAAAAACGCCCAATATATGTTTCAGCCGCATGCAGAAGACCAGAAGGAGCAGCAAAGAGCAACGCCGAGCGAAGCTGGCTAAAATCCTCAGCGATAAATTGAACATCATTCTTTCGCTGGACCTTGTCTAAGGCGTCAGCAATATCTACGGTATTATCGCCAACTTTTCTCACTGAAAAGGAAGGGATGGCAAACAAACAATGGCAAAGTGAGAGGCTATATCATTTGTTTTTTTACAGATGACCTGTGCCCTGTGACAGTGGAAGCCCAAATGGACTACCACGAGACCCAGCAATGTAAAAAAAATCACGTTTCTCATCTCTCGGAATCTAGTGATAAGATACCACTGACCAAAGACTACCAATGCAAGGGCCAGACTACCTTCTCAGAACCTACCTTACCAGAGGAACTAATCGGAGTAAATCAGCCATGGCCAATTACGACAGCTAGAATCCTCCACCAAGCTGCAACAACAGGCAACATCACTGCACAACAGACGAGGAACCCCTGCATCAGAAAGCAACTGAAAACAACACGAGAACCCAATATCGCTGTAAACTCCTCCCTGTCGTCTAAACTACAAGCTCTTACAATAACGCTTCACGAATCTGATCTCCCTTTTCACTTCCTAAAGCGAAGGTCACACTAATCTTCTCTGTTCTGGGATCCCCTCGACAGCCTCGCCGAAGTCAGGCTAGCTACAGCTTGGGATTGGTCACGCTACACACAGTAGCCGCTCGGAGAGAACCATCGTCTCAGTCCAGCATTCACAACTTTTATGACTAATTTCCTTGCTTATTTCATCCACTAATGTTCTTTTCAAATTCCTGCTTTTATAATCCGTATGACTGTAGTTCCACAACAACTCTTTAGCTCTCACTTTATCAAACAAGGCGTAAATAACTTCTGAAGAGACCTCCATGTCTGGCGTGTAGGAGTGGGTTGATGTTTCTGTTCGTTGGTCAAATGAATATTTATCTGATTTATCTATAAAAAGTTAATGAGACCCCATTGTTCGATGCGATGTAACTTATTATTCAAATAATGCATTTTTTAACATGATATAATAATCATGTTTCAGGATTTGAAGAAATGAGTTTACCAATAATTAGATTACATTTTTTGTTTCAGCAATATCTTTTCTGGTCTGGCTACGGATGAAATTCCGACATTTTTATATCGGATCCCACTACAGCTTTTGAAGCACCCTGTTTAGTCTTGGCATCCTTGGACAGAATGGACTTGTGTGACCGCCCCTTAAGTGATTATGGCACTGTAGAGCTTCTGTTACCATTCCTTCTTACGTGATAACCACGTGGACGGATAATTTCTGCATATCCATAGGAAAAAAAGAGAAACAAATGATACTGTCATTGAAATGGAAAATTCTGAAACCTGCTCATGTATAAACGCTTGTGTGCAACGCTTGTACATGAAAAGTCTGTCCAGCTGAATATAATATCCAGCAAGAACTAAGACTATACAAAGATTGCCCTTTGTTCTCTCCTCACGGTCGTAAAAAGCATGTTAATTATCACGAGGTTAAAATTGATCTAATTGCATATCGCACAGTCCATCACTTAACAGATTCAAATAAAGTGAAAAGTTTACTACTCACTGCCTAAGATGATTTTAAATCGTTTAAGATGTTAGCTATTCTTGTTGTTTTCTTTAAATGTTGTTTATCCAGATCTGTGCATACATCTTCCTAATGATGTCATTACTTTTAAACTTTCTGCTTACGTTGCTTGCTAGTTTACGTGGCCTATCAATTATATTCATGATATGTGTTTGTTTTAGACCAAATAAACCTCTCTTTCTCACTCTCTCTCTCTCTTTATTTATCTTTCTATTGTCCTCTCTACCTCACTCTTCTTACCCTCTATCTTTCTTTCCATCCCACTCTCTCTCTCCCTCTTCTTCCATCCCACTCCCTCTTCCTCCCTCTGCTTGTCCCTCTCCCTCTCCCTCCCTCTCCTTGTCCTCTCCTCTCCTCCCTCCAGAAGCAAGGATCCTTCCGCCCACCTCTTCCTCCGCCCATCCCGGCCGTCCGGATTCCGAAACGCCTCCAGCACGGGCGTGAACATCTTGTCGTGGAAGTCTGGTGGAGAGCCTGCCGCAAGACGTCCTGCAAGATGGCGCGATTTGGGAGGATTTTGACATCACTTGTCAAAGGAGGGTTAGTTTATTGCAACATTTATATCAACGTTGATTGACTGCGGTTTTCGTATCAAAATTGAAACTAAAGTAGGCGAAGCGAAGCAGTTATGTCAACTTAAAAAGGGTTTTAGCGTTTACCCCTTGTTTCTGCCTTCGTACCTGCTTCTGCTTCTGCTCCAGCTCCCGTTTCCGCTTCTGTTTCTGCTCCCGTTTCCGCTCCTGCTGCCGCACTTCCTCCGTGGTCTTCCCAGTACTTGAGGAAGGTCTTGACGGGGAAGTCCCTGAGCAGCTGTGCGGGAGAGCTGCTTCCGAGTCTCCGGAGGCGATGAAGGCGTCCGGTAGAGTAGAGCCAGCAGCTGAAGAGGCTTCGAGAGAGACGGGGTTAGAGGGGGGGTGGGGAGGCGAGAGGGAGAGGGAGGGGGGCGAGCGAGAGGAAGAGAGGGGGTGGAGCGAGAGGAGGGAAAAGGAGTGGGAGGCGAGAGGGAGAGGGAGGGGAAAGGGTGTGGGGCGAGAGAGCGGGGAAGAGTGGCTGGCGAAAGGGAGAGAAAGGGAGTAGGAAGGAGGAAAAAGGAGTGGGAGGCGAGAGGGAGAGGGAAAAGGGGAGAGAGGGAGAGGGAAAGGAGAAGCGAGGGGAGAGAAAGGGAGTGGGAGGCGAGAGGGAGAGGAAAAGGAGTGGGAGGCGAGAGGGAGAGCGAAAGGAGTGGGAGGCGAGAGGGAAAGGAAAGGGAGTGGAGGCGAGAGAAAGAGGGAAAGGAGTGGGAAGAGGAGAGCGAAAGGAGTGGGAGCGAGAGAAAGAGGAAAAGGGAGTGGGAGGTGAGAGGGAGCGAAAGGGAGTGGAGGAGAGGAGAGAAGAGGGGAGGCGAGAGGGAGAGGGAGTGGAAGAGGAAGGAGTGGGAGGTAGAGAAGAGAGAAAGAAGTGGAGGAGAGGGGAGGGAAAGGAGTAGGAGGCGAGAGGGAGAGGAGAGGAGTGGGAGGCGAGAGGGAGAGGAAACGAGTGGGAGGTGAGAGGGAGAGAGAAAGGAGTGGAGGCGAGAGAGAAGGGAAGGGGTGGGAGGCGAGAGGGAAAGGAAGGGAGTGGGAGGCAGAGGGAAGTGGGAGCGAGAGGAAAGGAGTGGGAGGCGAGAAGAGAGAGCGAAAGGGAGTGGAGTCGAGAGGGAGAGGAAGGGAGTGGGACGAGAGGAGAGGGAGTGGAGGAGGGGTGGGTGGAGGCGAGAGAGAGAAGGAAGTGAAAATGAGGGGGAGGGGTGGGTGGGAGCGAGAGGAGGGGGAAAAATCTAAGATATAGATTCAAATATTTAGCCAATAAAAACATTGCAATTTACAGGATACAAACATAGTTTTGGCTGAGCCTCTTGAGAGCAGAGTGCTCTCGTAAAAGGCACCTGGGTAGCTTTACATTTGATATATATATATATATATATATATATATATATATATATATATATATATATATATATGTGTGTGTGTGTGTGTGTGTGTGTGTGTGTGTGTGTGTGTGTGTGTGTGTGTGTGTGTGTGTCTGTGTGTGTGTGTGTATACACATACACATTTACACACATGTATATACATATACAAGTGCCAATACATATACTAATAGATATACATATATATACACATATATATACATAAACATATATATCACATATATACATATGCATATACATATACATATATACATATACATATATATACACATATATACATATACATAATTACATATACATATATATACATACATACACACATATACATATACAATATATATACAATTTGAATTTATAGTAGCTGAATATTAAGCTGGTGGTTGATAATAAGTAAAGAATTTAGTGATTTACAGATTATAAACATTTGTAAATTGATATATGTAGGACTGAAGTTTATTTACCATACTTTACATGCATTTTGTACATCAGTTAGTGTTATCTATGTACTTCGACAATAGGAATTTCTTCAATGAATCACTGAAAGCCGAGAGAGATGGCTAATCTCGTATATTTCTGGGGATTTTGACACCTTGATAAGATATGAAAGTTTGTGACTGTGAAGTTTGCATCTGATTTTGTTAAGGGATATTTTTATTTCTCAGGAGGTACTGACCATTCGAACGAAATTTAAAAAGGTTGTTATTCGGCCGGTTTGTTAGAATTGTGCGAGGCCCGACCCAAAGAATAATTCGTAAAATCGTAAACAAGACATGCATAAATAAAGAAATAAATGCATATTCATCAGTCAAGACATGCATATCAACCCGGCAAATAGATGGTTAAATGTATATCTATCAGGTATATAGACAGATATGCCTTTATTTCTGCATCTGTATTTCTGAAAATTCATTGGGTTGGGCCTGGCACATTTTTAACAAACCGGCTGATTATCCCCGATTGATTTGTATACAAGTAAGGCTTTGCAGTACGTATTAATCTCATGTATCTTTAACATTTTGTGATGAATGAATGTTGGGTCACACGGCCAATCCTCCTAAGAGTCGATATGATTCGTATCAATCTCTTTTGTGTTCTTATCAGCGGCTGCAACATTTTCTGTGAATGTCCTCTCTATACAGCATGGCAATAGGATAATAATGGGATACGAAGGGTTAAAATTCTAAAACGTTTTCGCATTTTTCTGTTGACAGCCATGATATGGTTGCTCCAGTTGAGTTTATCATTTAGAGTAGTGTCTAAAAACTTTCTTTTCTTCTACTGTAATCACGAAAATAATCTTTCAAGTTAGTTACATGGAGTATTTGGTATCTTTTCTGCAAGATTTCTAGCAATATTAGTAGAGTGATCATTAGCAGAATTTGCTGTCTGTTGAGTTTTTAATTGCTTCCATTGCCCATATGATGTACTAGGTTAAGATTTTTTTTTTCTTAAATTAGGCACCGAATTTATTACACCCCATGATTTTTTGCAGTCTCCGGAGCTCTCTTCAAGTATTTCTTTTAATGAGTCGTCATATACAGTTTACCCAGCGATTCATTTCTTACAATATTAGTTCTTGATGGTTTTTTTTTAATAACCTGCATAACGTTTTCAAAAAGTCCAAACACTGAGGTCTCGAGATAAACAAACAGATTCTAATATAAATTCTTGTCGCCGATTGAGAAACCAGAATACCCCTTCTTCTCAAAAAGTGTCTGTACTGGATTTCAGTTCTTTTTACCTTGCTTGGCTTTACATGGCTGAAAAAAAGAACAAATACTGGGAAAATATCTGGAAGTTTTGGAGTAAATGATGCCACTTTTTATATTATTAGAAATATGGTTGGTCCTCACGTGATCAAGATGTGATGCTGATTTACTTGTAACTCG